CAAGGTTTATTAGCTGTCACCTGGGAGGGAATGGAGGGGAAGGGAAAGTCACTGCTTAGAAGGCACAAAGTTTTTGTTGATAATGGTGGAAATATTCTGGAATAAAAACAGTGGTAACAGTAGCACAACATGATGAACATAATCAACTTTACTAAAATATACATGTAAAAATTGTTGAATTAGCAAATGTTTTGTCATGCATATTTTTTACCACAATAAAAACTTGTTTAAATGAAAAGAAACCTCAAAAGCATTACCCAAAGAAATAAAAGCAGAACTTGGCCAAAGAAACCCAATCTGTAAGAAATCAGAAACTTATTCTGAAAGCAAGCTGAAAGATGTACACATTCAAATAAGAATTGAGGAGAAATGTGGTCTCAAATTTCAGGCCAGAAGCCAATCTGTGGAAATATTCCAAATCTTAGAAGAGGTTTTCCAAAATTCAGACAAATCCAAAAATGTACATGATGGTAACAGGAAGTTAGAAAGCTGAAAGGAACCATTCTAGAATGTCAGTAATAAAGAACAACTTCAAATCAACCATGCTAGAGAAAAGAACAGAACACTGTTCTCTCTGCTGTATAGAAAATCATTGCCGTGTGGAGAGGTGTTCAGAGGATATGTAGCCAAAAACCATAGAGAAATAAAAAGGTTTATCGAGATGTCAAGAAGTTAATGAACAAAAATACTATGCTATTTTTCTGAAAAAAAATTTTTAAGTTTACAGTATTATCAGCATTAAAAATCTGTAATGTATTTTAGTATCTTTTCTCATTCTCTTCTCTGTTTAAAAAACAAGAGAAAAAAAGCATTCAAAGAAGTGATTATGAAGCTGAAGCAGAAATATAAAGGTTTCAAAATAGGACAAATTTTACTAAAAACAATCAGAAAAATGATGAATAGACTTGAAGAAACTCTACAAAACAAATTGTAGAAGAACAAATGGTCCCAGAGATGAGGATTAATACTGGAGAAAAGACAAAATGATCTAACATGCATTTAACTGATGTTCTTGGAAAAAGGAATAAAACAAGTGAGACAAAAAGAATGCCAATAACATAGCCATAAAGACAGGGCTCTTCCATCCTGCTGTGGTGAGCAGTGCCTGGGATCTTAAAACTCATGAGCAGCATCTAAGGTCCAGTTAGTGGTCTCTCCACATGCAGAAGAAAGAAGAGTGATGAGAATTGAAGATTCTTGGAATCAATGTAAGCATCAGTCTCCACGACTCTGAGACCAGAAGAACTAGATGGTGCATAGCTACCACTACCAACTGCCCTGAAAGGGATCACATTAGAAGGTCTTGGATAGAGTGGGAGAAAATGTAGAACAAAACTGAAAATTAATAATTAGAAAAAGATCAGAAGATCAGGCTTACTCATCAGAAAAAAACTGGAGGAACCTGAGATTATAGCCCTTGATCACCCTTCAAGTGTGGAAAGGAACTCACCCTTGTTCACCAGTTTGCAGCCAAGCAGTAGATAGGTTCATAGGAAGGACAATAACACTAGTAAGGTATGCTCACCATGGAATGGTCAATCATTCAAAATCAAAAGGGCAACATTTACCTATGGACAAAGTTGAGAAGGGATGGGAAGGTGGGTGGAATGGAAATAGAACCACATGGAGGAAGCGGGATAACTGTTGTTGCATGGAGGGGATTGCAACCATTGAGATGAAACAAAGTGTATGATTTGCTGAGTATAAAACTGATGATCTTGTCTATAAACCTTCACTCAATTCACAATAAAAAGTTTTAAAAAAAGAATGCTATGACAAAATGGAGGAAAACTTCCTGATATAAAAATATATTTGAAGCTAAACATGGGCAATTTTCCATACAGGACAATCAGCATCAAAACATATCCTGATAAAAGACAAAAGCATTCAAACAGAAAAAGGAAGCCAGCACAGCAAGGGCATAAAAGGTTCACAAGACCTCAGACTGCAGCACAGTGGCCCAAATACGGCACAGTCAAAAGAATTTTATACCAACCAATAGTCCTCCTTGTCTAACAACCACACCAAATACTTTCAGGTATGTTTAAAAACATAAAAATTACTGAATGATAAAATTCAGCCAATCAAGAAATAAGGAAACATGAGCAATTCAGGGATGGTAAAAACAGAAAATAATTAGTAATGAACATTAAACAATTTAAAATAGAACAAAGGTTAAACATCTAGAGGAATTATAATTACAGATATATAATGTTGAGAATCTTGCAGTACAAATATAGTACAGTATAGTACCTATAGCAAATGTAGGGACATTAGCATGCTAATTTCCTCTTCTTTCATATCAAGAAACTAAAGTTCAAATATGTTGTTGTTAAGTGCCTTCGAGTCGGTTCCGACCCATAGCAACCCTGTACAGTGTTTCCGAGGCTATTAATCTTTACAGGAGCAGAAAGCCTCATCTTTCTCCCGCAGAGTGGCTGGTAGTTTCAAACTGCTGACCTTAAGTTTCGCAGCCCAATTTGTAACCACTACGCTACCAGAGCTCCTTAAAGTTCAAATACAGCTTCAAAAATAATAAAGTTTTTATAATGTTTTTTCCTTAACTTTTCAAGCATTAATAAATCCTTTCCTGGTAAATATTTTTTCAAAATTCATTAACTATTCCTATTTCTCCACAATTTCTTCTTTTGTTAGGTTCAACAAAAGCATATACACTATCATATAATTCACAATAAAACACTAAATAAAAAAATTAAAAAACATATACAGTATGACCTTATTTTTATAAAATTATTTTTCTCCTTGAGTTGGACAGAAAGGAATGTTGGGAAACATGATTACAGAAAGCATGTAAGTCCATCTTCAGCCTATAACAGATTGGAATACCTAAAAGGGGTTCTACAACCTGCCCAGTGAAATAAGACTCCTGTGGAGCCTTTGCAGTGTATAGGGCCTTAGCTGGAATCCTAAGCCCTATCCAGAACCTTCTGAGGTCAGACAGCCACACTAGAAAGGACAAGCAGACCAGCCTGGAACAGCTACAGCAACAAAAGATACATCTTCAAGGGAAGATCATCAGGAAAAACCCAAAACAAAAATGGCAGTATGACTGGCTACTACAAGAATAATAAAGTTGTTCGCCTGGAAGCCATCAAGGTAAGCAATCAAGTTCCTTCAGGACAAACCCCCCTCTAAGACTGAAACTTAAAGGAAACACATGAGCAAGCATGTAAGTTTCTGGTGCCCATGTTGGTCTACTAGTGAGTAGAAGAGGGGGAAAGGCCGCAATGAAGAAATGGGCTGAGTTCAACCACATTCCACAGACTCCCAGGGACCTGAAGATGAGAGAAGAAAAAGGGCTCGTTGGTCCAAAATATGGTGAGGCCTGGGGACACGTGAGTCCACTGACAAGGACATAGCCACAGAGGTCTAGAGCTGAGAGTGAAGCATCCAGCTGATATGGATAGGGATGGACAACTTAGACATTGGCTACCTAAAATGAGGGAGTGATAAAGGCACAAAGTGACTGGTTTACAAGGTTTCAAGGGGGAGCCTAGTTTAATAGAGTGTGGGGAAAGAAAGAGTCCCCACTGATTAGTTATGGGTCTGGTTAATACAGACAGGGATAAGATTCTTAAAACAGATGGGGATAAGATTCTTATGATTCAATAATGAGTAATTGTTATCATGACTAATTGTGACTCTCACAAAGGTAAAGGTAAAAATTTTGTAACAAAAACAAGGGAGTGGTTAATCTTATAGTCCAGAAACAAAGTACCCTAGGATCATCAAAGGAGAAGATCACAAGCAGAATGAGAGACTTTATCAGTGAAGCAGCAACACTAGAGATGGAGGCAGAGATGGGGACATGGAGAGAGGGAGCAACTGAGGACTCTAGATTCATGGGAAGTGAAGGACTAAGAGATGGCGGCCAGGAGGCAGACTTGTGGAATGTGCCCTTTGCTGGTGTAAATTATTATGTATGCCTGAATGTTTAAAAAAATTTTTTAAAAAGCTAAAGTGAATAGTGAATAGAGAGAAACACTGGTAACTAATGGTACATGAAGGGGATTATAATCATTGTAATGAAACAAGGTATATGATTTATTGAATGTAAAACTGATGATCTGCCCTGTAAACTTTTACTCAATCCACATTAAAACCTTAAATTTTAAAAAATAAACTTATTTTTATCATCCAGCCAAACATTTCTCTTCACACAAAATAGAAGGATATTCATTAACTGTTCACAATTCTTTTTGTTAGATGGTGAGATGTTGGAGATTATTGCTTGTTGGTTTGTGTTTTGGTTTTATTTTTACTTTCTTCATACTTTATTTACTACTTTAATATTCAACAATAATCACAAAACAGCTCTTTTCAAAATTAAAATTTAATGTTTTGCAGTTCATTTTAGATTCTTATTATTTCTGGCATTCAATACACAAATGCAGGCATACCTCACGGTACAGAGTTTCACTTTCTTGAGCTTCCCAGATACTGATTTTTGTACAAATTGCAAATTAGTAAAAACCCTGAGTCAAAAAGGTCTACTGGTGCCATTTTCCCAAGTTATGGCTCACTTCGTGTCCATGTCACATTTTGGTAATCCTCACAGTATTTCAGCTTGTTACAAAATGCTACTGTAAACTTAGGAGAGTGCAATATAATGTAAACACAACTCTCATGTGCACTGGAAAAACAAACCATTCCTGTGACTCTCTTTATTGCGACATCTGCTTTATTTTGGTGATCTGGACTTGAATCTGCAATGTCGCCAAGGTACGACTATACTCTGCTTTCATTTTTCTTAAAAAAGGAGCTTATTTTTTAAGAATTCAAATTTTGAAAAGCAACTTGCTTTTCATGTGGAACTTTAGGAAATGAGAAAAAATCAGCCATTGACATAAATGATGGAGATAGCATCTTCACAATAAAAAAAAGAGACACTTACGGTCACAGCAGCCACTCTTCGAGGCTGGGTCACACCTACAACTCTTCCTTCAGCGGTCCAGCCAGCTTCTGCAAGGTACTACAGAGGATACCACGGTAAGTACACTCCAGACAACATGCTCCCCCAACACAACACTTTTAGCAGACAGGAAATGACATATAGCTTTGCCCACCAAAATTATTTTACAGATAAGGAATCTGAGACTCGGAAATATTAGATAATTTGTTTAAACTCACATCACAGCTGAAGAACCAAGGCACAAACTCAGCCTCTGACTCCTGTTATTTTTAAGTGCCCTCAAGTCGATTCCAACTCATAGCAACTCTATATAGGGCCTCCGAGGAACAGCTGGTGGATATGAACTGTCAACATGTGGTTCACAGTTCCTAGAATGCCACAAGTACTACAAAATGACCAAGTACTACATTACCTAGTAGTGCAGCAGTTGCAGCAGTTAAACACTCAGCTAATAACCAAAGGATGGTGGGTCAAACTCATCAGCTGCTCCACAGGAGAAAAACCTAGTGATCTGCTTCTGTAAAGATTGTTGTTAATGTTGCTATGCCATCGAATCGGTTGACTCATAGCGACCTTGTATAGGGTTTACAGGCGGGTTGTAACTGCCGACTTCATGGTTCAAACCGACCTCGTGGGCCAGTGCTTTAGCCTACAACGCCACACCAGGACAACTATGGAAAGCGTATGGGGCAGTTCAACCCTGTCCTGTAAGGTTGCTATGAATCAGAATCAGTACAATGGCAACCAGTTTGTTTGTTTGTTTGTTTGTTTGTTTGTTTGTTTGTTTGTTTTGGGGCGGAGGGGACTAAGCTGCCTTGAGATTTCTGGTATGGCACTGCGAACCACAAGCTAGACAATTCAAACCTACCAGCTGCTTCTTGGAAACCCTGTATCGGGTCGCTATAAGTCAAATCGACTTGACGGCACTTAACAAGATTCCTTGAAGGCCAAACAAGTATACATGAGGCACTCAGAACAGTGCCAAATCTGTAGAATAACATTAAAGTTCATAACAATATAAATGTTGTTGTTAGTGCCACCGAGTTGGTCCAGACTCATAGTGACACTGTATAGGATTTCCCAAGGAGTGGTTGGTGAGCTTAAACCACCAAGCTTGTGGTTCAAACCAACTCTGCAATCCAGCACATTAACCCACAGTGTCACAACAATATAATTACCAATCTACAAAAAGATTTGGGTCTCTAGATCCATGGAATGAGAAAGGCTGTGTACCAGTAAGCAGGAGGCTGGCTTGCGAAATGTGTCCTATGGTCATTTAAACAAATACATATTTTCGATGTGTTTTGTGTACATTAAAAAAAAGAGAGATAGAGGTAAATATTGTTAACCAATGGTGCTTGGAGGGTATTGTAATCATTGCAGTGAAACAAAATAAGATTGTTTGAATGAAAAATTGAGGACCTGCCCTGTAAGCTATCATTCAATTCACAATAAAAGTTTTAAAAACAAAAGATTTGGGTCAAATGATTTTAAAAAATTCAATTTTATAATTTGTAATATATATGTCAACAAATATTAGCATACATATAATCTGGTTATATTTGTTCATGCATATTTGATTATATATGTTTATACATTCAAAAATCCAAAATAGCAGTAACTATCAGTTATATAGTTCTGTATCGTGTAAATTGTTTTAAAATAAATATATATTGCTTATGTAAAAAGGGAAAAAAAAGATTTAAAAGGCGGCTCTATGTCTCTGCCCATTTATGCAACAGATGTATAGGAAATATGAACCAGGAACTAAGGAGGCTGGTTGTCTGCAGGGTGGAGGGGGGAGAGAGGTGGGAAGAAGGGGTTAGAAGGACCAGGAGGGTGTGGCAATGCTCTGGATACATCTTTTTGTGTAGCTCTGACTCTTAAAACCGCAGTCATGCTTCACATACTCTTCACACACCCAGAAAATACACAACAAGAGTCATCCAGGAGGGAAAAGAAACTAAAATATACACATGAACAAATGGCCCTAACTGGATTAAAAGTGAATAACAGGAAGAATTCCGGCGTTTCCCTGACCAGGCAACTCAGGTAGGGCAGTCTCGGGGAAAAGGGGCGGAATCTCACATAAGAAACCTCTGTCTAGCAGACAGCCAGCCTTTGAACAAACATAAGATCTTATATTTCACCATTCTGAACTCGTTTTTTTAAAAGATCAAATTGCTGAGGAATTAAAGGCATTTTGAGCTTATGCCTGCCTGCACGCGGCTCCCGCTTCCATGCTGGCAACTACCTCTGCCCCCTGCAGACCTTGGAATGCAGGGCTAGAGCAAACCCACTTAGAAGGCTGCATTTCCAGAGAAAAAGAAGCATAAACTAACAAAAAGGAACTAATACAGAGGGATATCGGTGCGGATATCAGGAAATTCGGGGTACCCACGGTACAGAGAGACTGAGAGAGGCATTTTTGACACCATCAAATACGGACACTACCTCCCTGCAGCCACGACCCCTAGCCCTCTACTTCCCTGGCCTAGACCAGCCCTCTGCCAAGCCACCGAGGCACAGGAATGCCAAAGGCACTGGCCCGCCCACTGAGGCCAAGGCCCTCCCAAGGCCCAGACACTCCCACTAAGGCCAAGGCCTGCCTGAGGCCCAACCCACCCACAGACTGGTCACAAAGGCCCAGGCCCAACCAGGCCCAAATCGCATAAACTCCTCGCGGCCCAGGCGGTCCACAGACTGGTCGCCGCCGAGGCCCAGGCCCAACTGAGGCCCAAAAAAGTTACTCTGAATTAAGCAATAAGGAGAGTGAAAAGGGAAGGCCATATCCTGATCACATCTTCCTGGAAGTAATCAGAAAACATAAAAAATTACCAAAACACATACTTAATTAATTATTAGAGCCACAGATAAACATTAAACATGTCCAAGAAGCAAAAGCAAATGACCATATCGGCACATGTCCAGAAAAAAGATAAAATATCTGAGACAAATGAACCAGAAGTAGACCTTCTCTCCATGCTGGAAGGAGGGAAGGTCATGGAGATACCTGAGAAAGAATTCAGAAAAATGATTATAAAATGTCTCAAAACACTTTATAATAGAGTTGAGAAAAATAAGGAAGAAGTCAGAAAATTGCTACAAGAACAATCAAACAAGATAGATACAGCATTGGTAACAATCCAAAACCTACAGAAAGAGGTCCAAACAATCAACAACAAAATGGCAGAAATAGAAAACTCTCTGAAAGAGCAGATGAGTAGAAT